TGCATTATATTTGGACCTCAGTTAGTGAGATTTTAAATAGCTTCCAAGCATCCTGTAGGGATTGACTGTCTTGTGTTTCCCTTTCAGCTTCCTCTTTACTATTCCCCTCATTTTTGTAAAGTTCCCTCTTTTGAAATCAGATGTTAGTTTTGGATTTTAGGGGTAACTTTCCATTGATTTGAATTCTGAACTTAATAGTGTTGTGGTCACTGTTCCCAAACTGTGTAACAACAGCTATATCTCTCACCAGGTCACCTCTCAGAACCAGGTCAGAATCACTACTCCTCTGGTTGGCTCTGGGACCAACTGTTTCAGTGCACAGTCATTTATAATGCCTAGGAATCTCATTTCTACATCATGACTCGAGTACATGTTTACCCAGCCAATGTGTGGGAAGTCTCCCAGTATAATAACATTATCTGCTTTAGTCACCTCCGTTATTTCCTTTTCCATCTCAAGATCAACCTGAAAGGTTCGATCAGGTGGGCAATAGTACACCCACACTTTTAAGTAACCCTTAGAGCCCAGTATTTCCACCCATATCACTTCTGTTGGAGAGTTGATTCCCCTGATGTTTTCTCTTATTTGATTCTATGCCCTCTTTGATCTTCAATGCAGTGCCACCACCAACCCGTCCCACCCTGCCCTGCCTATAGAGCTTATACCCAGCAATGACTGTATCCCATAGATTTTCCCCATTCCATCATGTTTCTGAGACACCTACTATATCTAAATTGTCATTGAATACCAGGCACCCCATCTTGGCTCAGAGACTTCTAGCACTGGCATATAGGCACCTATAATGTGTTTCCTTCTCCAGTAACCCTCACCTCCCTCAGCCCCTTAGTCGCTACACATGGCCCTCTATCACCATCGTGTCCTGACTCCCAGATATTACCCTGAGTGTTTATGCAATCATCCCTTTGGACTGACTTGTTCCCTGGCTCCTGTTGTCTTTCCCCCCAGGATTAGTTTAAACTGCCCTGATACCTTTTTGATATTCATCGCCAGCAGCCTGGTTCCCCTTTGGTTCAAGTGAAGCCTATATCTTTTGTGCAGGTTTGGATTGTTCCCCAGTGCCTAACACATCTAAACCCTTCCTCCCGGCACCACTTTCTCACCCACACATTGAGACGTCTGATCTGCGCCTGTCTAGCTGGCCCTGCACGTGGAACCGGCAGCACTTCTGAGAATGCCACCTTTGAGGTCCTAGCCTTTAACTTTTTGCCTAGTAACCTAAATTTTTCCTCCAAGACTACATTTCCCAATGTCTTTGGTGCCAACATGCACCGTAACTGCTTACTCCTCCCCACCACTATCTTTGAACTTATCTAGACAGTGCATGATGTCCACAACCTTTGCACCAGGCAGGCTAGTCACCATGTGGTCAAAATGCCTGTTACAGACCCCACTCTCTATATTCCTAATGATCAAATCACCCCTACCAGAAGCCCCACCCCCTATCCTCAGTAAGAGGATATCGGTCCATTGCCCAAGAAAGGGATCCCTTGTAAGGGATCACATCCCTCCTCCTCCGACTGATGCCCTCGAACCTCAAGACTCTCACTCTCCACAACAGCAGAAGATCTGTCTGCACAGGAATTGGGTAGTTCTGGTAAGTCCCTGAGCATCTCTTCCCCAAATCCGTCTCTCTCTGCCTCACCTTCTCCAGGTTGCCAACCCTAGCCTCATTAAAGAGCCTGCTCCATGCAGCGAGCACACCCCCACCATTTTCACCCAGTGGGTAGATAATCATACGTGTGGCACTCTCTGCAAAACACTGGATAGCCCCTTTTCCCCTGCTTTCTTTTTACCTTCATAACTGGTTAGTGATTTAAAGGTATCTAGAGTAATGCAGGGTCCCTGGGCCCAATCCCCAGGCCAAGAACCCTTTGTCTCTCACCCTTCCGCTTGCGCCAAAGGCTCGCGCCTCTGTCTAGGAGTAGCCTTACAGTTCAGAGGCCCCCAACTACCAGCAGCAACAGCAGAGACTGGGGCCTGCAGTCATCCCAAATATTACTGTAGAGATCAGGTAAGAGAAGGCAGTCCTTAAAGTATGCTGGTCCCAACTCATACTGGGCTTTGAAGGTCAACATCAGCACCTTGAATTAGGCCTGATGGCAAATTAGGAGCCATTGTAGATGGAGCGAGAGTGGAGTAATGTGGTACCTATGACTCACTTCAGCCAGCATTCTGGCCATAGCATTCTGTACTTGTTTTAGTTTCCAGACACAAGAGCAGCCCCATGTAGAAGATTTTGTAGTAGTCTAATACAGACATTACTAGAGCATGCACCACAGTGGTAAGATCTTTTTTAGCCAGGAAAGCCTGCAGCAGGTTCATCAGTTGAAACTCTTCAAAGGTGATTCCTGGCCACTGCTGCCATCTGCTTATCTAACAGAAAGTCTGGGTTTCAGCTCGTCCAAACTGCTGTAATCCCTTCCAGATAGGGCTGCCAAGTGGGGGCGGGGGGCGAGTAAGCCCCCACTTCGGAGGCCCGATTTCTGCCGCTGCAGAATCGGGCCCCGGGGTTTTCCCTCCAACGATTGGGGCCACACCTTCAACGTGATTGACGTCACTTCCGGTGATGTGCTGGCGCCGCGCGCACTACGAAGAACGGCTCCTGGAGCCCAGCGAAGCTCCCCCGCCGGTAAGACATTTTGACTTGGCAATCCTACACCCAGAGCAGGAGACAACTTAATTCCTGGGTCAGTCCTTCCACCTACCGTAGCACATCTGTCTTGTCAAGATTAAGCTTCCATCCCAGAGGTGCCTCTAGGCATCAATAGAAGTGTTCCTCTCTGGGATCAGCTAGAAGTGTGAGATAGAGATGAGCATCATCTGTGTATTGGTGACAACCCAGCCAAATCTCCAGGTCACCTCATCCAGTAGGTTAATGTAGCCACTCCTCCATTGTGTTCCATTTTAGGGTGTTCTACTATGTTGGCCCTCCTGTATTGCAGTGTGATGCGCTACTCCTCATTGTAATCTTGAGGCAAAACTGAAAAGAAACACAGCCTCATTTATTGCATGCTTTATAGTGTCTTTCTCTGCTAGTGCCATTTTTCAATAAATATATTTGACAAGAGGAACAGCATCTCCATACTTGAATTGACCCCACGGCTTAGAGGTAGAATGGAGGTTAAGCCCCTCCTGCACTGTTTTCTTAACATGAAATAGCTCTAGGGTTGCTATTTACCCCATTGGGGGGCTGCATGTTTAGCTCATAATTACATTATGCAGCATCTAACAGGAAATTAAGGCTAGTTCAAGTTAGGGGAAATAGTGTGTGGGAAAGTCCGAAGCTGCAGTCCAGATAAGATGCCCTGTGCACTAGGGAAATGAGTCCCTAGTAGCATGCTGTGTGACTGACAGGCCGGGTAGCTCAGACCCAACCTGTTGTCATAACTTTAGGGATCTTTTAGGTAAGAAATGAGTGAGAGGGCCCGTGTGACTTTTAATTTACTGTTCCGTGCATATAATTGTTATGGAATAATAATGGAATAAATGTAATGGACTAAATGGAATAATAAATATTACATGCATGGAGCAGTAAACTTAAAAGTTCAGTACTGAAATAATAAGTGACGTATGAGAAGAACAGAAGGACGTGCATCCATGCACACACTCAAACCATAATGCTCACCAACTCATGCTGGCGTTTCTGGAAAAGGTATCCTATTGCCTTGTAGTTGCTGAAAAAAGTTGAAAGTCTTATAATTTGAAAAAAGTCAATTCAAAGGAAATCTTGTGATGTACAAGATTATTCCATATGGGGCAGAGAAAGTTCAAGAGAAATAGACACTGGATATCCAACTGGGGCAAGAGAGATGGAAAGTAATCGTTGCTCCAACTGGGGCAGGAAGACCAGGTAGAATCGTCCAACTTGCTTCATAATGCATGTGCTGTATATACTGTTTTTCAAGTCTTTGTCTACCTTTGAGAAGTTCCCCTTTTCAACTGGATTCAACAAGCTTAAAGTGGCTCACCATCCAATGTTGGCCCTTGACCACTTTAGCTCCACTCCTGCTTTTAACCTTCTTGTCTGTTAAAATAAACTGGATAAACATTGAACCTTCTGGTCTTCCATCACAACTGGATAAACATTTCTTCTTTTAGCCACTTGGCCATAGTCTTCCATTATATCTCCATTGCACTTTATTTGCCACTTCTTGCTATTCATTCTTACCTTGCTTAGAATCTTCCAGGGGTTTTAGTTCATTTATTATATCGTTCATAATCTCCCAGGTATTTCAACCTTATTTCACTTTCATACTTCACACATACTTCCTTCTGTTTCAACATCTCTTTCAGTGATCTTCTAGTACACACCTCAAATATATTCATCTGTATATCAATATATTGATTAGATAATAATTTGTGGTTACCAGTAGCATTGTGAAAAATGTTAGTATCTGGTTTGGATTTTAGTAACTTTTGAAGAGGCATCTGCTTTCCAGTGACAAACCTTGACAATGAGATCTTAGGGACGTGATTCTGAATGAGCTACAAATGGCACCAGTGGTTTTCAGGGTATTCTAAGTGTTAGCTTGTGAGCGACAACTGGTTTATGCATGCTTTATAGCAACTTCTAAAACCTTTGTAACAGCTTCTACAGGGTCCAGGTGTTGTCAAGCTAACAGAAAACTTTCCTTCCAGAGACACTCTTTGGTGGTCATTTTCATCACTCTATTTCAATTGGTTGTGTTCTTCCTTAAAATCTTTTATGGAAATTAATGGGGAAAATATTTCAGAAAGGAAGTGTAAGGAAGTAACTGAGCAGCTTTTGAAACCTCCCCCTTTCAGGTGCCAAAGATGCTTGAAACTGGTCTTTACACTGGAACAAGACGTTATTGTTTGAAGTAGCACACTCTTTGCCAGGCTCAAACTTGTATTTTTAAAGCATAGTGAAGGCTGCGTGGCTTGTATAATGGATTCTTCGCCGTCTACATTCATCTGAACAATATAATCCATTAAGAGAAACCCATTTCTCTTTACAGAGGGCCATCAAAGCTTCATAGAGGAGAAATCCTGATAGATTCAGAACTAGATATTGATGAAGTCACTCTAGAGAAGTTTGCTTTTTCAAATGCTCTTTGCCTTTCTGGTAAGTTGTATGCATAATGCCCTCCTTCATTGTGCTCTGAATGTGCATAATTTCAGCTATGAAATAGGTGATAGAAGGTAGGAAATTTTGGCTTGTATCCAGTCATCAGTGCACAAAATGCAGCATTACCCTGTGTTCCTCTCCTGCAGCCTCTCTGACCCCCAGAAACATCATTCTTGGGGCTGCACAGTGCAATAGGTGTGCAGGTCAAAGGGCTGGATTGAGAAGGGACAATGGGATGAAACTGCTCTTCCCCTTTTGCAGGTGCAGCTCTGCTGATGGGTGGGGGCAACTTCATCCCCCTTCACTCCTGTCCCCCAGCTCATGTGGTTATTCCTCTGCATTGGATCCCTCAGCCCAGGGGTCAGTAGGAGCTGCAAGAGCAGAGAGTAACAGAGAGGAGTACAGGAAACTCCATGTCTCTTCCCTGCATGATTGGATATAAGCTTGGCATGTCTGTACATTTGACAAATATAGAAACTTTTTCTCCTCAATTAAATGTTTACATAGTTAAATCACAGATGTGTGCTTATGCAAGCAAATCTTACTGTAGTAGAATGCAAAGCTACTTCTGCATTATAGAACTGAACTTCAGAAATCAATGTTGAGGTATACGAACAGTACCCTTGAAGAAGCTTGCATTGCTATAACTGATTTGGTCAACTGAATCCTGATGTCCACTCCAGTCTTTTCTCATGCATGGACTAAAATGTCTTTGGAAGTAATTCTTTAGGTGCATTTTTAAACTGTTATTTTCTGTAGCTATAAATATAGACATTTTTTTCTTGTTGCACAGCCGAACTTATTGAAGTAGAACTGTATTAAAAGCTTTAAATTAATGTACAACTCAGGCATACTTTTTTAAGGTTACTTAGAAAGTTAAGATTGCCCAGCGTTTGGAAACAACCCCTCTGTATAATCATAGTATGCATTTTATTTTGTGACAAAACATAAAGCAGAGAACATGTATGGCATGCTTCTATTTTTTTTCTCCTCTGTAGTAAAACTGGGAATTTGGGAAGCATCCTTGGATAACTTTGTAGAATCTATTCAGTCAATACCAGAGGTATTTGATATTTTTTCATTTATTTCTATTGAATAAACTTAGGCAGATAGGCACATATTTTTCGCCATACATTTGGACTGAAATTTCAATGCAAACTTATCTAAATATAGGAGCACAAAATATTTGATGATTTAAGGTACTTAATTTAAATCATTATTTAAAACAGGAAAAACATTTCATAATGACCTCATTAAACCAGTTTTGGTGTATGTTACAGAAATATTGTATTTTAGTGAATATGTAACTTCAAATTAATTATGAATTGTCATATTGACAGATTTTAATGGGAAGCTGTTCAGAAATAATTATGCAACAGTGCAAAGGAGGATGAAGGCAGCTTCTCATGTTTACCCAGCCTGCCACATGCTTTAGAATGAAAATTCAAACCTAAGTGGTAGAAATCTCAGGATGAAAACAATAATTCTCTCACTGGAAAAGGAGGATAGTAAGCAGGGGTCATTTCCTACACGAGCGGAGTAAAGAGCCCGGGGGGGGGCACATGCAACAAGCCCCACCCCCTGCTCCCAGCAGCCCTCAGTCAGAGCAAGAAGCAGCCAGGTAAGTTGCAGAGCCCCCCCGCCCAAAACAGTCCAGTGGCACCTTTAAGGCCAAGTTTTATTCAGGTACAAGCTCTCCCTCCTCTGCGAGGACAGACCTGCACGTCCCCCCCCCCCAATAGCTAGCAATCCAAAACAGTCCAGTGGAGCCTGAGCATTGGGTGTTGCCTTCTGACACACTTCCTGTGATGTCAGGGGGTGTGACATATGCTAATGAGCTCCTGCACCTCTTTTTCTACGAAATGACCCCTGAGGGTAACCTGGAGTCTCTCCTTCTGTGGTGTTTGGAACTATCAGATCAGTAACAATGTACATGAGTTCCATCTGCAGAAAAAGGGACTCCTACAAAGTAGCATAGGCATGGCTCCAAGTGAAATACTGAGCTTTGTATCCTGGTATCAACCTGATAACTTCCCAAAAACCCATTATTTGCATGTTAAAAATTATCATATGAACATATAATTACAAAAAACTTCAGCTATAGCAATAATAATTTTTAAATCTCAAGGATGTTCCCTTTGTGATGTTACCTTGGTAGAGTCAATTATTCTTTAAATAGAAGAAAGATATTAAGCAGAATACATCTATTAACAGAATACATTGCTGGAGGGATCAGGCTATACCCTCCTCTCTTTTCTCCTGCTTCCCCCTCAATCCTCCAGCCTGAGCCCAAGTAGCAGCAAAAAATGTCAGCAAGTTATACATAATAATGATACCCATTGTCGTACCCAAATAATCTAATTACATTTTTCTTTTTAAAAACAAATTCTTCTTTGTACAATTTGAATTACAAAAGTACTGCTTTCCACTAAGTGCCTGAAAATATGTTTCAGGAAGTGAACAACAACAATACTTAGAAGTTAATTATATTATATTATATTATATTATATTATATTATATTGTTCATCAGTTCTTTAACAAAGTATGCACATCCTAATGGCTTATTGCTCACTTTTTGCAGATACTAAAATCAAGAAAGAAGGTGAAACTCTCTCATGCGGATGTGATGCAGAAAATAGGGGAATTGTTTGCCTTAAGGTAACTTCAGAAAAACAAGGCGGGGGGTGGACAGGTTGGAGTCTAGCAGCCAATTTTGTCTGAGAGTGTAGATCAACTTTGTCCACAGTTTCCACTACAGATTTAAAATTCCTATAAATTTTGGAGCCAGGGCAGGTGGAGCTGTAGAGGGAAATTGAAATTCTGGGAAAACTGTACATATATGCAATGATTACTTTCCTATCAGACCTACGCTTAGTGTACTCAGCTTACAAGACAAAATGTATAATTTATAACTTAACAGATACAATTGTACTGCTTGATGTATTTATGGTACTTAGAAATATAAAAGACCACAAGTAAAGTGGCAGATATTTGAGAGATGCCTGAAAACTGGACCTTTTGCTGCCTTAGCATGTGTATCTTAATTCTGGCTATCTCAGTGGTAAGAAAAAATGAGTTTAAATAAATTTCGTAGTAAGCAAAAAGCATTATTTATACAGTAACATACTCATGGTCATAATAGGACTGTACCATGTTTGGTTATCTCCAAGTAGCCTTCATTCATGGAAGAGTCACTTAATTTGGAGGAAAGCTCCTTAGACTGGAGAAAGGCTTCAAACTTTAACCAAAAGGAAAGATGGGATATAAATATTTTAATAAATAAACATTGCTCAATGAAGTGGTAGGATCATCCCCAATATTTCATAGTTCTTTATTGTTCCCCAAATTTCAAAATGGAAAAATTGGGGGGAAGAGCCTTTGGCAGAGCTGGGATACAAGCCTCCACATCTCTAGTCTGCCAAAAGGCATCCTATTTCCTTGTTTTGTCCATTTCTGATTTTGAAGAATCTAAATTTTTAATTTATTTCTAAGTATGATGCAAGTATAATACAATAAGATCCAACAGGTTTTGGAAGGTCGAAATAAAGTAATAATGCATATAAATCCAGATAGCTTAATTACTAATAAAATTCTATAGCGAAACATAAATCGAATTATCTTTCATTAAGGCCAGACAAATAAATATAATCACATTGTCTGTTTCAGATGGCTTAATGCACATGACCAGATAAGTTCCATGTTTGTAAAATCCTCATTTTTTGTAATTACAATAACTTTATATGTGAATTAAAATTCTTTAATTTTATCCAAAAAAGCTTTATGTATTGGTGTTCTTTTCTGTTTCCAAAGTTTAGCAAATACCAACGTTGTGGCCATTATGACATATGGGGGAAATACTCTAAATTTCTTTGGGGACAGAGCTGAAAATACGCCAGTAAAAGTTGGGAAAGGGAAACTTATCGTTTTAGGAACTGGCCTCCTAACTGGACCTTTAATGGTCAGATATTATAGTCATGCAAAAAAACGTTTAACAAGCATCTCATAGCTATTTGTTGAATATTAATCTCTAAGTAGATGTAAAACTTTTTGAATGGTTGAAAAGGGAATGTAGTATATCACGTGTTCTTACTGGGTACTTGGACTGGATAGAACACATTAGTATTACTATCTAGAGTGGAATTACAAACCCATGATTAGAACTCTAACATCTACCTACCCTTCCTCAGGCACTGTATAAATCTGAGTTCAGACCTGCTGATCACTCCAGATTTCTATTGGGATAGAGAACACCTGGAAAAGCTTTATGATCAAACATGTCAGTTTCTCAGTATAAATCGCAGAGTAAAGGTATTTGTCCTGTTTTTTTTTCATTTTAACAAAACTAGTCTTAATTTTGATATTTGTTCACACGTTTCTGCTGAGGGAAGTCTTATCTTGTATTTTCTTCATGTTTATGCTTGCCGCCCAAGTCATTAGTCTGTTCCCTTGTCCCTGGACTTCAAGCCCCTCTCTGCTTTAAGCCAAGATGAGAGATGAGGCCTTCACGCATCAAGGGATAGCTCATTGGAGTGTATTTATCTATTTAAAATATTTCTATACCACCTTTACACCCAATTCAGAATCCCCACAGTGGCGAACATTTCAAGCATTAGAATAGTTTTTAAAATACAAACATTTATATTTAAAACAAACATATAAATAGAAACAGGGAGGAGGGCTAGTAAGAGCTGACTTTCCCAAGATGGAGAGACCAGTTAAGGGAGCCTTTGAGGACACAGTATACTTCCGTTGTCTCTTGGCCACATTGAATGTTTTGTTCACTGAAAGATTAGTGTGGCCAAGAGATGCAACCTTTATGTAAGCGATAATAGCAAAAGTATCTACTTTCTCTCCCCTCCCCAATCTGCAAACACTATTAATTTTATTCTAGAGTAGAATTTGTCAGTTGAACTGCAACCAGTGACATGTTGTTTACACAAAAACAGATTAACTGTTAAGAAACAACTAAATTAGATTCTGAACTTATCAATAACTAAAGGGGTATACTGATATAAATGTGATGTTCCAGAGAGTCTTCTTGGTTTTCAAGGTAGCCTAAATATTTACAATTTTTATAAGTGAAATTAAAACACACATAACATCTACAAAATTTATGAATGCACTCATGGTTATAATGGTGTGTGTGTGTGAATCCGTCATTTGAGAACAATGGAAAAGTGAAGCTGCCAACTTTGAATAGGCTTCACAGAATATTTATCAGTAAAATAAGTCACATCAACTAATATTATTACTATTATTATTATTATTAGTCTGGCTCACATACTGGTAGTCTTTCCTGTTCTAGACATTTATGCAAATATGCATAACAGGTAACTAAAAACAGCCTGGAATATTCAAAACCTTTTCAAACTGCTACCCCCTAAACCTTAGCAAAGCTAGAATCATAAGGCAACAGGTGGAGAATGACAGTTCGGTGTAGTGGTTAGGTGTGTGGACTCTAATCTGAGAACTAGGTTTGATTTCCCACTCCTCCACTTGCAGCTGCTGGATGACCTTGGGCAAGCCCTAGTTCTGTCAGAGCTGTCCTTGAAAGGGCTCTCTCAGCCCCACCTACCTCACAGGGTGTCTGTTGTGGGGAAGAGAAAGGAGTTTGTAAGCCGCTCTGAGACTCCGAGTGAAGAGCGGGGTATAAATCCAATCTCCTCCTCTTCTTCCATCTTGAAAAAACCAAGGAATTTTAATTGTTTCTTGCAGGAAATCAAACAGAATAAAATTATGCCTCACAATGAGGCAAATAAGTGACTGTTCAGCCTGTGTGCCACAGGCAGCTTTTGTGACTCTAGTAGATCATGTAAACCCAGATTGACCAGGGCTCGTGAAACATTCCAGGATACTTATAACATTTCCAAAATAATTCCAAATTATCACGTAGAACAATCAGGCTACATTTCTGAGGTAATCAGCAAAGATAGGACCATCTCCTGCCACATTTGCCCCCTGGAGTAACTCTCAATGAGGAGATTTTTACCATCTTAACTATCATAGAACCCATTTGTTGTTCAGTCACACAGTCAAGTCCAACGCTTCGCAACCTCATGGACCAGATCATGCCAGGCCCTCCTGTCTTCCGCCGTCCTCCGGAGTTTGCTCAATTTCATGTTCGTTGCATGGATAACACTGTCTGACCATCTCGTCCTTTGCCGTCCCCTTCTTCTTTTTCCTTCAATCTTTCCCAGCATCAGGGTCTTCTCCAGTGAGTGCTCCCTTCTCATTTGGTGGCCAAAGCATTTGAGCTTCAGCTTCAGCATGTGGCCTTCCAGGGAACAAGCAGGGTTGTTTTCCTTTAGGATAGAACCCACATTCAACAATAAAACAGACCAGTGTATAGGCTGGCATTTAAGATTCAGCTTCCACCCCCTAAAGCTGCCCTCCACTACCAATGCTGTCTCTAAGCTGTGGAGTCTTGTGAGCAAAAATTCTACTTTGTGAGCCACTGGCATTAAAGCTGTAAGCGAGCGATTTGGCTACTGCATCAGTTAGTTTGCTCCGGAGCCCTCCTTCCTGGGCTAAGACAAAAATGTGTGAGATGGAGGCTAAAAAACGGTGAGCTAGCTCACACTAACTCAGCTTAGAGGGAACACTGTCCACTACCATTCTTGGCTTGATTTACTCCCATCTTCCCAGTCTGTCTCCTGTCTTCTCTTCCCCAACTTGTTCCCTCTCCCTCTTTTGCAAGATCTCTGCGAATCCATCCCTGTAGTTTCCCTCATGTAAGTTCTCTCCCTAGCTCCCTTGCCCTCCTCCTTCACTACCCATCCTGCTCCGTTTCACTTCAACACCTCTATACGTAGCCTGCTGTTCCCTCATCTATTTTCTGTTCCCCTCTTTGTCCCCTTGAGAAGACATTCACAGGTGGTTGTATCTGGATGAGTCATGGAGGGGGGAACACACCTGGATGCTGAATTGCCTGTGCTAGGATTATTTAGACTGAATTGCATTTAAATTGTACCTTTCCTCCTTAACTTTTCTAGCCCTTTTTTATCAATTAAAATTGATCTTATTACTGTATTTACTAAATGCAAGACTAGATTTTCTCAGGTATGCCATCCAAAGGGGGGGGGGTTACATTTGCTTATGAGTTAGTTATATCCAATAATAATTTTTAGGGGGGGCTGGCTTATATTCAGGCTCATCTTCCTTTTGAGTAAATTCAACAGTACTTAGAAGTGTTTCTCATTTACTAACCTCCATCCAAAATGTGCTTTTGTATAGAGACTTAAAGATCTGAAGACCAGGTGGAAGAGGCACTTATGAAGAGCACATACACATAACCTCCATTTTTTTAGGCAACAAGCCTGTAAGCTTGCAGGCTGATACTACCAATCACATGAAAATCTGTTATATCCAAACCTTAACATTTCTTTTTCTATTGCCAAATGAAGTAGCAAAAGGTAATAATGTTGCTTCTATGTGCTAATCAGAATATTGGCACCAGGATTTTTTCTGGACTGGTGAGCTATGAAGGCGTAGTATTGGGTTGTGGCTAGGGTTGTGCTGGGGGAATACCATCCCACTTTTTGATTTAGGGTGCCTCAGGGCTCTGTCTTATCTCTAGCTTTCTGATATCTACAGGAAGCCACTGGGAGAGGTAATGTGGATATGTGGAGTATGGTGTCTTCAGTAGGCCAATAGAAGAACTCCCTCTCAGTCTCAGTCTAGGAAGGCAGTAGGAACACTAACCTGGTGTCTAGAGATAGAGAAGGGCTAGATGTGGCTGAACAAACCCTCTTAATCCTGACAAGAGGGAAGTACTGTTGGTTGGGGATGAAACTGAATAAGGTGTAGGGTTACAGCCTGTTCTGGAGAAGGTTGCTTTCTCTTTGAAAGAACAGGTCTGTTCCTGCATCCTGTGTTGGTGCTTGAAAAACAGGTAGCCAAATTAGTCCGGAGACGTTTTTTGTCCCCAGTTTGAGTCAGTTTGTCAACTGTGGCTCCTCATGGCAATGGTCCTGAGTTGGTAATATCCAGGTTAGACTACTGTAATGCACTCATCAGGCTTCCATTAAACTATGTGAAGACCTCAACTGCTGTAAAATGGGCTAGATTCAAGTCTAGTAGCACCTTAAGAGACCAACAGGAGTTTCAGGGTATAAGTTTTTGAGAGGCAAAGATCCCTTCATCAGATACAAGAATGGAGATCCTGAGTCCTTATATTCCAGTCAGAATGTGGGAGAGGGTGTTACAAAGAAAGAATGCAAAGGTACAGATGTAATCAGCTAAATTAGAGCAGGGGAGGAAATGTTTAGGGGCAGGAAATTAGCATCTGTAGTAAGATAGGAATCCTATGTCCCTATTCAGCCCGGGGGGGGGGGGGGAAGTCCATTCTAAATTTGTGCAGTAATCTCACAGTGCAATCTCCCCTTGAAGTTTCTGTATTTGAGGACTGCCACTCTTAGGCCAGCAATGGAATGTCCTGCAAGATTAAAATGTTCTCCCACTGTTTTTTGAGTGTTGAGATTTTTGACGTCAGATTTACAACTATTTATTCTTTTGCACAGTGACTCACCTGTTTGATGTAGAGAGCAGAAGGGCACTGGTGACACTTGATGGCATATATAACACTGATGAACAAATGAATGAATCAGGTGGCATGGCTTGGTATCATTAGGTCTGATGATTATGTCATCGGCATGAATATGGAGACAGAGTTGGTATCTAGGTTTACTACAGGCCCTGGTCCCAGTCCATGTCAGGAGGTTTTCTATGGGCAAGAAAAGGTTTGCCTCCCAGTTCCTGTGAGAAAGGCGTATCATTGCCCAGCATAGGCTGTAGGTCATTAATGATACATTGAACTGGTTTGAGCAGAGAGCTGTATGCAGCCACCAGTGGTATTCTGTTGTTGTCCATTTGGGTCTATCTTGTAGCAGACTACCCCTTGCTAGCATTCTGACTTTGTAAAACACTTATTTGTGCATTGTTAACTCATATTTTGCATCACATGCACTGATTTCCAGTTCATCTTCCAATTCAAGTGGCTGGTATTCTCATAACTGCCCTGGACCGAGATATCTGAGAGACTGCCTTCACCTATAGAAATCTGACCTTAGCTTAAGGTTGGCTAGTGCTGCCCTTCCTCAGACATCTCCCTTGAAAGAAAGATGTTTCATAGGCATGCAGGAAAGTAGGTGTTTCCATGGTCCCCAAACTTGGAAATTCTCTGCCCCCAAAAGCCTGATTGGGCCTCCTCTCTGAGGATCACAGAGCTCTGTGGATCTCATGGCTGCTCCTTCCTGTTGTACCCCCCCCCCGCAGCAGCTCTTGGATCAGAGTGGAGTACAGTGTATAAGAAAAACTGTAAACTATTATACATGGACACTTTCTTCTTGAATAGAAATGCTGTTGTCTTCACAAAAGAAGGATTTGTGATCAGAACCAAAGTATTAAGAGGCACTCTGAAGCAGTCAGTTATAAATAATATCAGAATTGCTATATTTATTGGGCTACAGCAAATTCGTAGAGCCTCTTCTGGGCTCTTTAGATGGTATTTAACAACATTATTTAGTCAGGACTCTTGAATACCAGTGCTTTTGTATCCTTACTGAAGGTGGTGAATGAAAAGCTTCAACACTGCACAGAGTTGACAGACTTAATGCGGAATCACTTGAGTGAAAAACATGCCTTGCGCTTGGAATGGATGATAGTGATACTCATAACCATAGAGGTTAGTCTGTAGCAGTATTATTTAGTACAGTATCATTAATGTGCAACCAGTGAAATCAATCACATGTGACTTCCTTTAAGGGATGGGAAGGAGCACGCAACTAATTACATGGGTTCCATATTTTCTACACAAGTGTTTTTTCTTGTATCAGTTTTGAACAGCATGAAAAAGCTTTAAGTTGGAAATGAATATTATTTTGGTACTCATAGTCTTATTTTCAGTGGTATCCAGTTGTGTACCTTCTCTGACAAACTACAAAGACATTTGTGTTTTGGGGGATATATGCAGCTGCTACTTCCTCCAGTGTGCAAATGTAAGAGTCCTAGTAGGCCTGGGACAGGGTACAATAGGAATGGGAAGAAATCTCCAGAATAGTTTGGTGCAATGTTTGGCTTTCATTATTTATAAAGAACTTGTGATTTGGAAAATGTACATATTAATGTTCTATTTATTTTGCAGGTCCTGTTTGAACTTGGCAGAGTGTTTTTCTAATAGCTGCAATAAATGGCAACTGTGAAGTGTTTGTCAAGATTCTGGAGACCATTCTAATAATGACTGATCTTGAGCTACTTTCTTCTGAATAATGTATGGACACTTGTTGCATACATATTGATGCAACTGGATCAAAGTTAAATCACTGTTATTTGAAAGTTGATCCTTACTTGGGATGTTTTTTAAGTTCTTAGAAAAGAAGATTTATAAGCTTTACTAATGATGTATCCAAACTGGCAGCTGTTTCATCTGTTGCGCTAGACAAAATTGTCTAGTTGAACAGCCTAGACAACCAGTCTTTGGTCTGAAAGATCATACCTTGTTTCAAAGGTAGTCCTCTTATGCACATGCGTCAAGTGAGATCGTTCATAAAGTGTACCACTGCAAATGTGCACATAGATTGTCCACAGACAAGTGTGGCCACAGCTTGGGGCCAGAAACAGGAAACTGACCCAAACACAAAAACTATTCTAAAGAAAATGTATATGCATGTGCATGCGTGCACCTGTGGCTGAAACAAAACTGAACCTGAACTTTCTTGGCTGCATTGAACCAAAACCTGTTCTGAACTGCTAAGCACACATGCTGATTACTAGTTAAAAACAAGTGGTTCAACAGACAATATAGGAAACTATCTCTATCTTCTCCAGCTATACAGAGGCATGCAAAAGAGAAGCCCCAGGAAACCTTAGGATGAAGGAGAGAATTCTGGGAATGGTAGTTCTCAAGTTATTACCTTGACTCCATTATATAAACCTGCAGCTTTCAGATTTGAAGGAAGCTCATACTGTGAACGAGTGTCATGCTACTATATATTTAAATGATTAACCAGCTATGGCTAATTTTTTTCAGTGTCTGGCTAGTTCAGATTGGCCTTGAGCTGCTTTTCCAAACAGCACAACACTCTTGATTAAAGCAAGGCCTGCAAATGTATTGATCACTATTTAGATCCTATCAGTGAGCCCAGTTTTAAGAGCCTAAAAATTACCTTGCCAAGTAAGATCAAGGTCCCTCTACCCAACATTGTCTTTCCAGTAGCAGTTAGCTCAGTACCTCTGGAAGCTTACAAGCAGGATGTACAAGTGGTAACATGTTGCTTATAGTATATTCCTTTGGTGCATACTATCTCTGAACATGGAGTTTCCATTTAATTCATAACTATTATTTTCCTCCGTATTGTATACTTTTGTATTAAATATGTCTTTCTGAAATACTGTCCGTTCTGAACACACTGTCAAACAACAGATAGTTGAGGATATTCAGTTATCTCCCAGTCATTAATAGTTTTTCAGCTTTTTCATGTTCTTTAGTCATCTTGCACACACACACACCCAATAAGAAACTGCTGTAGGCCTTCTATCATTTCAGTTTTTTCAACACTGGAATGGAATAATCAAAACTGCTGAATTCTTCTAGATATGGCTACATCACAGATGTGTGTTAATGGCAGTATACTTGCAATTGTTTACTCCCAGGAAATTAAAAACCCTTGAAATTAGCTCAGATTGAACTTTCTACTCCTACTGTGTAGTTTACTATAAAGAATATTTGGGACTGAATTAAGATTTGAAGAACACATGATGCTTAGTAACAACTATTCCTCTGGCAAGTTCTCCCTACTGTGATGTTTAGGTACACTTACCATGTGAAATTTCATCAGTGTGTCCTTTTCAAGAGCAGCCACTGAAGTGGAGGATGGTCAAGAGACACACATAGTGGTTCCACATTGCCTGGTGAACGTACATAAGCATTACTGAGTGATCAAGTAATCTGCCAAGGGAAGGCTGTCTTACACAGTATTCATCTGCTCCTGTTGTCATTCTCTTTTCAGAGGTTGGCTGAACCAGTTGTGGTGGTATTAATCTGTGCTAATAGTAGGTGATGCTGAAGATTCAAAATCTTCCCTCTCTTCTCCCCCCCCCCCCCAAACTGCCCTAGCCTTCTCCAGTCCCAGGAAGGTTGCCAATTCCAGCAGACATGGGTGCAGTGTCTGGGAGAATCTGTGGTATACCACATCATTTGTCCTCTGAAACTGCCATTTTCTCTAGAGAAAGTTGATCTCTGTAGTCTGGAGATCAGTTTGAGGTGCCCCGGAGGCTGGCAACCCCTAGACTCAAGGGACCTGCATTAACTAGTAGCTACATGCGTCAGGTGGCTGCAGTGGGGATGGGAAAGGGAATGAGACTGCTGCTTCTGCTTCTTGCATAAGTGGATTTCTGCTTACAGAGGATGGAGCCATTTCTTCGCCCTCTGCATTACATCAACTAGTTATGTGTGTAGCTGTTAGTCCCTTGACCCTAAAGAAAAACCCTGTGATCAGAAGGGACTTGGGAGGGATGGGGAAGACCCAGCATCATACTGACCTTCAAAAAACTAATTTTCCTGAGCATTTATTCACTTAATAGTATTATACTGCATGAAAGAGAGAACTTCACAAGAACAGTTGAGTAACATTTAAATTTACTTTGTTTGAAATGCCAAGTTTTTATCAAGCCAAGCGTCTCTTGTTTGCCATAAAGATTTGCTCACAACTCAAAATGAACAGTGTTGCAAAGTGGCAACATTCAGCCTGTTTATCAGTTGGGTGGCTACTGTTCATACATGCTTGTTACACAGATACAACCTTTCTTAAATGCACCTAAAGCAGCCTGTGTTTCTTTTGGAACCTTTTAGCCTATGTATACAAGGGTCAAACTTGGTACTATAGTTTCAGAAATGGAAGGAGGCAATAAAGTTTAAATATACTCTTATGTAGAATAAAAGGTGCAGCATAAAGACAAGCAGTGAGAGAGAGAGCAGATTCAAAACTAAGTGGCTGGTCCAGCAGGACCCAGACGAATCTAGTACACAGTCTAGGCTGAAGTAAAGATATTGTGTGTGTTGGGGGGGGGGTGCTGCCTAAATGGGGAATAAAGTAAAGTGCAAACTATGCTTTGTCTGCCCAATTTGGGCGGGGAGGGTTTGAGATCCATGGTATAGGATTTCTTGACAATTGTGAGGTGGGGGGAAGCCCTTTAAATACATTTTGTTTGTTGGAACTGTTGGGGTTTGAATTTGAGGGGAAAATCCAGAGTTTGGTAGCACTTCAAAGGAGCACTAAAATTGTGGATACCCAAGGAATTCCCTTTGGTCTTATTTCATATTTTGCAGTACACTGTTACATGTAAAATTAGAAAGGCCATTTTCTGCCACATCTTCTCTATATTATAAAGCTAATTTGGGGTGACTATGCTCGATGCGCTCCCTCAGCCAAAGGGTGAGGCGGCCGCCACTCACACAGGGGATGCTGGCCACTGGCCGCAGTCTCTGCCCCTACCCACTGAGGCGGCGCCAGAGTGAACATGCCCCGCAATTCGAAGAGAGAGCTGCTTTGGCGTGACCACGCTCAATGCACTCCCTCAGCCGTAGCTTGAGCCAGCCGTCACTCATGCTGGGGACGCTGGCCATTGACCGCAGTCTCTGACGCCCGCCCACAGATACAGCGCCAGGGCGAACGTGCCCCACAATTCGAAGACACCATGGCGGAGTCTCACCCCGCCACCCAAACAGCCGCTGTGTCCGTCCTCTTCCGACTGTCCGCAGCCAGCTGGGCTGCGCGCAGCCTGACGATGGATGGGCCACGCATGCCACCGGGGGGGGCGGGGGTGTGGCCCTCACCTGAACACGCGTTGCCACCCGGCCTCCGTGCGATCTGACAATGGGCGGCCTGGCCGCTCCAGGGGGGGGGACTCCAGCACGCAGGGGCCGCCTCCGGCTGCACCCAATCCTCCTGCCGCTGCCGACTACATGCAGCTGGCTGGCCTCTCACTGGGTGCTAGGACTTGTTGTCTTCCTCCACAATGGGCTTTGCTCCTAGTTCATTAATTCAGTATGAATAATGTTTGCTTAACTAGAAGATTGTCCTTTTTTTAGTAGTGCTCTTCAGAACTTTTGAGGCCCCCAGATTCACTTGCAGTTTTCTCTGGAGGTTGTATCAGTCTGGTTAATACATCAGCTCAAGCTTTGGGTTATTACATTTTATTTATTTAATTTTACCTGCTTGCATGAGTATAAGTCAAATATTCTATTACATATGTATCAGGGGCTGGATATGAAAACCATATTTTCCATTCCATGCATAGGTCTCATATACTGTGTTCAAGTTACAATAAAACAAATTCTACTGAGATCAGTTACATACCTCTGATGCGAACTTTCAAAATCGCCGTTTGGTAAAAATAGGGGGGAAAGGCTATTGCAAAAGGCACTGGAAGAAAATGCAAGTGTCTTTCCACTTAGTTAGAAAGCAGTAAACAATGCAAGTGTTCACCTAACCAGCTGCATACAATGCTACCTACATTTCCTTGGGAGCCGGCCCCTCACTAAACATAGCAGCTTTTCTTCCCAGTAAACATGCATACACTCAGGCTGCACAAGTTCTGCTCCGAACTGTTAAAAGTAAAGTGAGGGACTTCAACAAAATCAGACAAGAAAATACACACAAATTACCCATATAACCCAAGAAGTACACAAACACTGATTTATTTAGTCTACACTTCTGTAATCCCACAATAAGTGAATGATACACATACACTACTTAGAGCCCACTTCACACATGCAGGGGCTAATCCCTTCTTCACAGCTAATGTTCCTCTACAATAAAACCGACTGTACTGTTATATATGAAGGGAACCCTCTGATATAAATTAACTTTTTATTACAAATATACTAGAATACAGAAAATATAATGCATTTCTCAAACTTAATACAGTGATCTATGAATGTACTGTTTTACTAAAAGGATAAACTCTACTGGATCAGTTGGTTCAGTATCCTGTTTCCAATCATAACCAATGAGAAGCCTAAAAGCAGATAATGACAGCAACAGCCTTTCCATATTGTATGTCTCAAAGACCACTGCCTTTAAACATGGAGGTTCTATTTAACCATCAACTGGAAAGTCTAACTGGTACCAGATCATCAAATTATTTCCAATGAATTTCAGAAGCTTTTGAATTGGACCAGTTCTCCCTTGAAATATTAAGCCTATATAATTGAAGGGAAGCACAATTTAAAATTTGTGTATGATGCAACTTTGATCTCATCTTAAAGTTCAACATTCCTCTACAAATGAATGTACTAATAAGCTTGTATTAGTATCAGTCTCCAATACTTAACTAAAAGGGAAATGTCTGTGTGTGATTAGTTGACTGCAAAAAGAAAATATGAGAAGAATCACTACAAAGCCAATAATGCTAGGAAAAGCTGAAGGCAGCAGGAAAAGAGCACCCAAAATGAGACAGATTGACTCAATCAAGGAAGCCACAGACCCCAGTTTGCAAGACCTGAGCAAGGCTGTTAATGATAAGACAATTTGGAGGTCATTAATTCATCGGTCTCTGTCAGAAGTGACTTGCTGGCACTTAACACATACACTCAAAGGAAAACAAACAGAGCAAGCCCTGCTCCAAAACATTTTTGTCCTGTGTTCCTTTTTAAATTCAGAAATTTTCTAATTTTTTATTTTTCATAATCGGTATGTAGTTATCTGTACAAGTAGGAGAAAGCCTTAAAAGTGATCATAGCTATGATTGTAAATGCTTTATAAGCTTTTTTGATCCACTTTTGTGAATTAGGAAGAAGTTAGAAATTAATGAGGGGGAGGACTGATTATATGCACATTTACCTGGTAGTAAACTGGTGAGATTTCCAAGTAAGCATGCATTTAAAAACAAGAGTGAGGGGATGAAAATCCAAGGCAACAGAGAGCCAATGCAATGTAAGGGCTAAGGCCTGGGAAACCAGGTTCAAATCCCAACTCCACCATGAAGTTCACTGGGTGGCCAGTCTCCTAACCTACCTCACAGGGGTACTGTGAGGATAAAGTGGCAGAGGAAAAAACAATCTACACCACCCTAAATTCCTTGGCAGAAAAGCAGGATAATGTATTTATTTATATTTAAATAATAAACGAAAGATGCAGAAAGAAAATAAAGAGCAGGAAAATGAAAACATAACTGTGGTTATACTTTGAAACCACTGGAATATCAAGCACCCAATGTACAGATCAGAAAGGTACATTTGGTTTTAAGCCTTTTCAGATCTGTTGCTAAGCCAGTGAAACTAAATAATTTGAAACAGTGTGATTGTAGATTGCAGGCTGAGGTTCTATAACCCTTTGATAAAGAATTAGTTTATAAACTCCAAATAAAAAATAAAGGATACCACAGGCAACAGATCCTCTAATACTTAGGCAGTCTTATCTTTTCCAACAGAGAATCGTTCCACTATCTTAATACTGGTACATCTGTGTTCTGGACAACCCAATCAGAACAAATATTAGATTTACTTAAACCAAGATCAAGGAGAACAAACAAAATATTTCTGCAATCCCTCTTAGTATCAGTAAATCTTATAACCATGGAGAAAAATGTGATCAACATGGTGCAACCAGCAAAGATGCTTGAAACTTTTAGCAGAAAAAGGGATGCATAATGTTATAGGAGGCAACAAACAAACTGATGCTGATGCAGACTCAAGATGCACACCCCAAAGCATTCTATGGAAGACAGCAATGGGACTGTGCCCGATTGCTGCAAACCCCTGTAAGTGTGCTTAGGATAAAATTCCACTGAACTCAGTGGGACTCTGACTGAACATGCCAAGTAAACACAAACTAGGAGATACCATCACAGCAATACTGTAGGGCACTGTCTCTTCCCAATTTGAGCGTCTGCTATTCAATACACCTACCAGCAGAAGCCTGTTCTCTTTGGTGCAGACACAGCCATTTATACATTAGGTTTATTGCCATTCACAGAGTCTTAAATAGGGATTTAATATCATTCCTAGTTTGTTGACTTTCCAGTAACATGCATGCAGAAACGAATATTTAGAACTGAAACTTATGTCCAGTATCCACCAAAGCCCCAATAATTTCAATATCTAAGTGTCTGTAACTGTGCATTATGTCAAACGTTTTAATTTAAACTGCTAGCACTGACCAACTCGACCAAAACTTCACAAAGTCAAAACCATATTATTTGGCTCTACCCATACAGTTACAAATACATTCACAATACACAACTTTCAGCACCCATCACTCTCTGTGCTATAAACAAAAAAGCATCGACCTAAAATATACAAATTACTATTTTAAAATTCCCATATAGTATAAACCATTAAACTTGAAGAGTCACCCACTCCAGATTCCTTTTTTAACCCAAAATAAAGCGTACTTAAATTTTGTTTTGGCCACCTCGTGGCAATTCCCTCCCTCTTGGTTGTGATGAGCGGCGGGGCGGGGGAGGCAAGAGGCCAGGGTGTGAAGATCCCGTTCCTGAAGCCTCTCACAGCAGACCTCAATGGAATCTGCCCTGAAGAGCCGCCCGGAGCCGGGCCCCCGCTCGGTTCTCGCGGCCGCCGCTGCAAACAGCGCGGCTGGGAGAGCTCAGCCCAGCCGGTGCGGCCTGCCTGCTGCTCGCTGGAAGCGCCGCGCGCCAAGAGAGGCGAGGCAGAGCGGGCGGGGAGGCGAGGGGGGAGGGGAGGCTCCTGCTGCTGTTGCCGCCACAGCTCTCGTCGCCGCCTCCCCTCCCCCTCCTCTCTTGTCTCTCCCCGGCGGGGGCTCCTCGCTACAGCCTCTCTGCTCCGCTCTCGATCATGTGACCCTAACGTAACCGGACAGGAAAAGCCGCCGCCGCCGCCGCCGCGCTGACTCCGTTGTTGCTGCTGCTGCTGGGCGCGCGGAGACGGCGGGGGCCCCCCGAGAGCGCGAGCCAGGTGAGCGCGGATTACCACCCCCACAGACACACACGCTCGAGAAGAACCCGGGCGAGGGGAGCGGAGAAGCGGAGGGGTCGTGCGTGGCGGCGGGAGGGAGGCCAGAGCGCCTCCGGCCCCTCCCCCGACACCCACCATTGTGCGGCGGGCGGTTGGGCCAGGTCGGGATCCGGGGAAAGGAGAGAGAAGGCTCCAAGGCCTGCAGGGGGCTTTTCCGGCCAAGCGGCCCGGAGCCTTGGGAAGGCAGCAGGGGAGCAGGCGGGCTCAGGGCTGTAGAGGGAGTCGATCCCCCGGTGGGAGCCGGAGGGGAGCAACTGCTCGCTCGCTCGCTCCAGCCCTGCTCCGGGGGTCGGTCTGAGACGGGCTCGGTCGTTAGCGCTGGCCCGCCCTCGCGCCGGTTCCCCCTGCCTTCCTCGCGCTCGCCAAACGGCGAAGCGGCCTTTCCCTTTTCTCTCACCAGCGGCGGCAACAGCCCGGCCTAGGAGGGGGAGGGGCGGGCGCTGAGGCAGCCGCGCGGAGCGGGAAAGGGAGGGAGGGAGAGGGGAGGAAGGGAGGGGGGGCGGATGGTGGGCGGCTCCGTCTGCGTCTCCTCAGCAGTCTAGGCGGCCCTGGCGACAGCGGCGGATCCCGTCTCTCGCGCGCCTTAGGCGCCTCAGCTCGCTCGCGCGGCTTACGTCGGCTCTCGCTGTCGTCCGTCCATCGTACGCCCCGCCTTCTCCGTGCGTCGCGACTGCGCGCGCGCGCGCGGCGGCCTGGCGTCGCGTCGCATGCGGAGTCAAGGGGGGCGGGCCTGCGAAAGCCAGGGGCGCGCGCGGCCTCACAGGCTTCTCTCCCCTCCCCCCACCCTTTCCTCACGGGTAGCCAATGGGAAGCGCCGTCGCGGAAAGCTCTGCGTGATTCACCGAGGGAAGCCGAGGATGAGCCTTCCGGAGAGAGAGGTTCCAGTCCTCCACCGCTATAGGTTGCTGTTGCTTTCTCTGGCTCTCATTGACTCCTGGGAGCGTTTCGTGCGTTGTCTTCTCCCACAAGCGCACGCTTCAGCGTCCTGACGGCCGGCGCTTACAGGCTGCCTTGTGGGCTGCCTTGGAAAGTAGACGCTTCTCTATGCAGTCAGTTTATCAGCGACGAAATGTGCCCCAGGGAGGTGTCACCGTTTCTTCCTGGGTAGAATGTAATCAAACTTTACATCCTACGACTCAGCTTCCGTTTTTTGTGCAGCCGAAAAGGTTTTGCTCGTCATGACTGGAAAGCAAAGGGTCAGTTCACAAGTCAATTAGAATGGTTTTAAATTATTTCCAGAGTCACTTCTCCGAGTACACAGTTTTGTGGTTTGAAATAGACGTGACTTTAAATGCAAGAGCCACTGTTTTCAGGTTTGTGTCCTCGCAAGCTTTAACTTGTAGAAGCTTATGCTGCGATAAATGTTGCTAGTCTCTAAAAGTACGATGGGACCTCTCTTATTTTGCTACTGCTCATTAGCACAGCCACCCACCTAAAATTATCCTGAACCATTTTGCCTTGTGCTGCAAGCATTCTTGTGTAGCCTCCTGAAATCAATGTGACAATACATTGGTGCTTTGAGTCCTCACAGGCAGGGCTGGAAAAATTCAGGGCACTACTGGCCATTACATTTTTGGCAAGGTTCCAAGCATCTGGCAATACAGATCATGATCCTTCAAGCCATCCTGTAGCAATGCTTTGCATATTCTAATTTAGTGGAAAGTTGAGCTCACTTCTCCCTTTATCCACTGTTGACTGAGCTTTCAGATGTATTGGAAACCCAATTTCTCTTCTGTTAAACAATATTGCCTTCAGCAAATCACACTTGGTACAGTTCAGATACTACTAGCAAATTGCCAATTGATTTTAATTTTCGTGGATCAGATCCCATTTTAATGAACAGAAAATCACACCTTTGACCTTTATTTTTAATTAATTTCGCTTTCATCAAGTTTATTTGCTTTGCAGATTTTAAAAGATGGATTTGGCCAACCATGGGCTTATTCTTCTGCAGCAACTTAATGCTCAAAGAGAGTTTGGTTTCCTGTGTGACTGCACAGTTGCTATTGGTGATGTCTACTTCAAAGCGCACAAGTCTGTTCTTGCTTCTTTTTCAAACTATTTCAAGATGCTGTTTGTTCATCAGAGCAGGTAATTATAAAAGGGTTCTCTCTTTTTAAAGAGAGAGGATATGCACGTTGTTGAAGGAATTGTGAAGTTTAATGGCATCCTAATGTGGGTTGCTTCATAATTCATGGTATTTTCAGTTTAATTCACACATCAGTTAAGTCATTGCTGACTGATTTGTTTCATTGCTAATTGGTTTGTTGATTGAGCAGAACAACTGCAATCCCTGAAAGTTGACATTTCAGTTTAAAATCTAATCCACTGCATCCATAAATCCATTGCAGTAATACAAACAGTGGCTTAAACCACTGCAACAAAAATAATGATATGGCTCCCCTGCCTGTGTAACCCCAGCCCTTATCATCACTGGAATATGGGACTCAAGAGTGTGTTTTCCATTCCAGTTTTCTGTCCTCACAGCCAAAATCAGACTGAGTTCTTAGAACTTGATTTACAAAACAAATCTAGTAGGCAGTTAGGTCTTAATCCGATGAAGTTTATATATCCTGTTGCTAATTCAAAGTCCAGGTTACCATGCTGAGCAGTGATGAGGGAGGAATTACTGATTTTTTAAAAATGTTCTTGCTCTTGGATGTTTTTAATTAAATACACATAGGGTCTCCTGGTGCATTTGTTACTTTTTCCTTGTACTGTGGGGGAAGAAACACATGAGCCAGAGGCCTACTTTCAGTCTCACCCTACAGTTTCAGGGAGGTCAGATACCCAAATGTCCAGATACAGAAGGGTTTCTGTTTTATTTTGATGTGCGAAGGATCTGTATAGTTCAACAAAATTCATCTGTATTTTCTGCATCAAGGAATATCTATCAACTATAACTCTCCTTTTCTGAAACTGATTTTAATAGAAGTTATCTGTTGTTCTGGTACCTAAAATCAAGATATAAATCGTTCTTTTTCAAAAAATATGACAGTTTTTAATGAAAGATTGTTACATTGCTAAGTTCACATCAGTAGCAGCTTCCTAGTTTACTTAAATTAGTTGTACTTCTGCTTTTTATGAAATACTTTATGTTGATATTTTAATATATGTTTTTAAACATCTTTCAGTGAATGTGTCCGTTTGAAAGCAACTGACATACAGCCAGATATATTCAGCTATCTCTTGCATTTGATGTACACTGGGAAGATGGCACCTCAGCTCATAGATCCTGTTCGATTAGAGCAAGGAATAAAGTTTCTGCATGCATATCCATTGATTCAAGAAGCCAGCCTAGCCAGCCAAGGAAACTTTGCACACGCAGAGCAAGTTTTTCCACTGGCATCTTCATTATATGGTATTCAGATAGCAGATCATCAAGCAAGAAATCCCACAAAAACAGCTTCAGCAGCTGACAAACCAGTGCGAGAACCAAGGCCGCAACCATCCCGAGTAAACCAAGAACAGGTGCATGAAGGCTCTCAGTCATCACAGCTACCACCACCAACTCTGCCTCAGTTGCCCCAGACAAATATGGCCCCTTCTGACCCGCTGCAGTCTTCAGTGTCTCCAGAATTGGTTCCGGCTCCTCCTCATTCTTCTCCACCAGGAGATGAAACCAACATGGAAGCCTCTTCTTCAGATGATCAGCCTGCTTCTCTCACAATAGCACATGTCAAACCAAGCATTATGAAAAAGAATGGAAGCTTTCCCAAATACTATGCTTGCCACCTCTGTGGCCGACGATTCAATTTGCGTAGTAGCTTGCGTGAACACCTTCAGATTCACACGGGAGTGCCATTCACATCAAGCCAACATGGGGAAAGTAGTGTTCCTCTGTCTCTTTGTAACAGTGCTCCTGAAAAAGATGCTATGGAAGTGCCTGAAGCGGGAATGATTAGTGACAGTGAGCTGCAGCAGATCTCAGATTCACCAATAATTGATGGACAACAGCAAGCAGAAACACCACCACCCTCTGACATTGCTGACATAGATAACTTGGAACAGGCAGATCAAGAAAGGGAAGTTAAAAGACGCAAGTATGAATGTTCCATTTGTGGACGCAAATTCATTCAGAAAAGCCACTGGAGAGAGCACATGTACATACATACTGGCAAGCCTTTCAAGTGCAGTACCTGTGATAAAAGCTTCTGCCGGGCCAATCAAGCTGCTAGACATGTGTGTCTAAACCAAAGCATGGACACATACACCATGGTAGACAAGCAGACTCTGGAGCTTTGTACTTTTGAGGAAGGCAACCAAATGGACAACATGTTGGTACAGACCAACAAACCATATAAATGCAACTTGTGTGACAAAACGTTCTCCACTCCCAATGAGGTTGTCAAACATTCGTGCCAAAGTCAAAACTCTGTTTTCACTCTAGAAGAAGATAGATCCATTCTGTTAGGAGGTGGGGACGGTGAAACCACAGAGAGTGATCACTCTGTCCTAGACTCTATCAAAAAGGAACAGGAAGCAGTGTTGTTAGACTGACTGAGACTAACATCATTTTTTTAAAAGTTTGTTTCATTCATTTTTACTAAACTCATCCTCTTCCCCTCCCCCAACCAAAATTACACTGACATGGAAAGAAGTCTGACTGTCCTTTTCCCAACAAAAAGTATAAATGTAATAAAGGGTATTGTATGAAATCATAACAATTGATTTTAATACAGAGGAAAATATGTAAGGGTAATTCAGCTAACTATGTGATTATTGATAGAAAATGTATCTAACAAGTTCTAAACAATTTTAGGCTATTTAAATGTATACTTGAATGCAGTGGGATGCAAGATGTGAAGAAGATTGAAAAGAAACAGAAAATATATTTAAGTACAATTATTTTCTCTCCTAATAAGTTGCCTTTTATAGGAAGAGTAGCTTCAGAATTCTTTCAGTTCTACACTTATAAACTATACAGTTGTCACTTTACAAAAACTCAGAAATTCCCATAATGAATGAAGGAAATTCGTTTAGTGCACAGGGTTGGGGTGTTGTTGCTTTTTTGTTTGTTTGGTCAGGTGTTTGTTTCCAGATAACTTCATTGACATTATGTTGATCAAAAAGCTTATTACTAAAGCAGTGATTCCAAGCATACTAACTTGGAAATAAATCCCACTGAGAGCAATGAGACTTCCATTTCCAAGTAAATGTGTTTAGGATCAGATTTTTACTGAAAGTTCAGAAATAATGTGATGGCAATCGTTTTATATGCATAAAAAGTTTGTGTGTATATACTTCATGTATATGCAGGTAAATGTATGCATGGACATTCCCAGACGAACTCTTCTGAAGAATAATTGAACTACTTTTAATGTCTAACAAATTGGTTCTTTTTAAAAGTATTTTTAAACTTGTCCAGAGTGTATGCAGTTTTTGTCCTACAGAATGGAAACTGGTGATGATGATGTTGAATGTTGTCAACCAAGACTTGGAGGAGACCAGAGATTGTAAATAGTGAGCCCTGTGTGCTAAGTTCAAAGTGTGAAGGGAGTGAAGGTTCTGAGTCTTTCCAGGGTCAGAGGGAGGGGAATTTTTTTTTTGGCTTATTCATCACATAGTAATCCGAGTGATCCATGTTTACTTGATTAACATGTAGGAATGAAGAAATCTGGTCTTTTGTTAAGCTACTAGTATCTTCTTTTAACACCACAAAATGAAAAAAGAATGATGAAAGTACATCATGGTTGGTTTTCCAGTAACACTGCAGCGTCAAACAGGAACCTGTATTTTTTTAATGTGTCATTCCCGTAGGCTCCTGTTGGGGAAAGTATGCAAAAAATAAAGGGGACAACATTATACATTGTTTTTGCTCTGAATGGTATTGTCTGAAAATTTAAAATCAAGTTGCTGATTTTTAACTTTCTTTTTAAATATATAAGTAATTGAATATACTTAGTAGTATTTAAAAAAAAAAAGCCTAAGTCAACAGGAGTGACTTCTGAACAGTTATTTGTACTGGTGGCAAGGTTTCAATTAGCAAAAGCACCCCATCAGAAATGGAGCCAGTGTTTGTTTTGATTGGGGGGGGGGGGGAGAGGCAGATATAGCTCTGCTCTTGTATACACTTTTTATTTGAATATCATCCTATTTTGTGTCTAGTTATGTTTTCCAGTTTGTAAGTTTTTATACATTATTTCACTGAATAAAAATTGTATAAAATGGAGTTTGATTTCTGTTTAGTTAAATGTGACTGACAGAGCTGATCTAGTGAGTAGCAGTGGTTAGAGTGCAGGACTAGGATATGGGAGACCCAAATTTGAACCCCCCGCTCTGCTATGGAAGGTCGCTGGGTGACCTTCAGCCAGTCACACACTTTTGTGAGAATAGAATGGAGGAGAGAGGAATGGTATTGTAAGGTGTTTTGTATCCCCATTGAGGATAAAAGCAGAGTGTATATACTGCAGAGAACTTATAGGCAGGTTCAGAGATCCCAGCAGGAGTCAAAAGAATCCTTTCCTCTTGTGCTGGAAGCAGGACATATACTGAAGCAGCAGCTATTGATGATCTAGACTGGGGACGGGAAGGCTTATAATAACTGCTCATACACATTGTGCAGGTTACACTCTTGATCTGGTATTTTGTACTGGGTATGAGGAATGCAGTGTGAGAATGGAGGAATTGATCGTAGTTCCTTTCTCATGGACAGATCACTATTTGATCAAGTTCAGATGTACAGGGATACCAAGACTCTGAAGGGGTGTGGGACCTATTAAAATGGCCTGCTAGAAGGATCTCAATGGCTTTCTGATGGCCCTGGGGGATTTTCCTTTTGCTGTGGTTGGTGCTCCTATCAATGTCCTGGCCAATGCTCCCTCTAAGCTGTGGAGTCTCGTGAACCAAAATTCTACTTGGTGAGTTCCTGGCATTAAAGTTGTGAGGGAGCGATTTGGCTACTGCATAAGTTGGTTTGCTCTGGAGCCCTCCTTCCTGAGCTGAGACAAAAATGTGTGAGCCGGAGGCCAAAAAACTGTGAGCTATGTCACACTAACTCCGCTTAGAGGGAACACTGGTCCTATCTAACCTCTGGAGTGAGGAAATGTCCAGAGGGGTTGACATGATTGCTTCCAGGTGCTCGCTGTCAAGTGTGAAGAGTCCCGTTAGCCCCTTGGTTTACTGAGGGGCTGTGGGGAATGAAAAGACAGAGGAGATGGCTAGAGCAACAGTGGAGGAAGACTCAGGACAAATCCAACAAAACATGGGCAAAAGTTCATTTTAAAGCATAGTCTGTGGCAGTGATAGTGGCAAAGAAACCACACTTCCCCACCTCCATTTCATCTGTCCAGTGTAGGGCAATGGAGCTGTGCCAGGTGGTCAGAGGCCTGTTGGGATCTGGCCTGCAGGAGGAGGTGGACTGCTCAGTGGGCCACTGACCATTTTGCAGATGACATCTCTTGCATCGATTCTTAGTCTCCACATTAGTAGTGACAGGGTGCTGACTTGTTAGGGATATTTTTCAGTTTATTGTCTAAGGAGGTGGACAGGATCCTTAGAGGTTTGAGACCTACCACCTGCTTGTATGACTGTTGCCTTTCCTGGTTACTTAGATCTGATAGGTGACTGGGTCCCAGAGGTAGTTAATGCCTCCTTGAGAGGCGGGGTGGTGGTTGTGGTGGTGCTTTTGCCCCAGCCTTGAAACCAGTAAGTTGAATTAGGAAATTATTACGGACAGCTGAGATAGCTTCAGCATAATGTGAGAAAGGCAAAGCAGATTAGTTAATGAGCAGCTATTGGGCTGCATGGACCGCCTAATCCCTTATGAGGCTGTCTGAGCCTTACAGTCTTCTCTGGAGGCCTTGCCTCAAGTTGCTCTGCCTTGAGGTTAGGCAGGTGGCATCCCCGAAGAGGGTCTTCTCAGTCACAACACCAAAGCTCTGGAGCTCTCTCCCCAGGTAGATTTGTCTGTCACCTTCTGCCGTCTTTGGCCAGTAGGTGAAGACTTTTTTGTTTCGTTTGGCACCTTCCTTCAATGACACCTCCTTCCTAACCATTTTTAAATGTTTTGCATGTATTTTAACTGTTTTTAGCTCATTAAAAAGTTGTTTTAATGAGGTGTGTTTGGGAAGGGGTTTATTTTAATGGTTTTATACTGTAACTTATTGTGTATGTTTTTAAATTACGTGCCTTGGCGGCCCTTGTAAGAGCAGAAAGGCAGGATATAAATTTTGTAAATAAATAATAACTATTGTCCTAGCATTCAGGCTAGGTAAGGTTGCAGAATTCCCCAAGTCATGGGATGATACTTAGCTATTTCAACCAAACGGGCAGGATGGCTGTCTGGTTTAATGCTAGTTTAGTAGCCAGTGAGGGTTAAGACCATACTTTGCTCTCTGCACAGTCAGCGAGGGGATTCTCTTGAACAAGATGTTTGAACTATGTGAGTTTTCAAAGCTGAATTATATTCCGAGCAGGGGAAGAGGAATGTAAACAAGGGCACTATCAGGCCAGTGCTGAGGCAGTAGAATTCCACTGCTATCAAAAAGAATGGCATCAGTTCATTTTATTTCAGAATTTTCAGATTTAACACAGAGAAGAACTGCAGCACTCTCCAGTATAAGACAGAGTACAACTGCTGCACACTTGCATCAATATAACTGTGATGTGTTGCAGCATGCTGTGCTAGATTGCATCACGGCACATTGACCCACAGGCAACAGCTGCCATCATGAGATGCAGCATAACATCATTAAAAGTTAATGGCATGGTACGTATTTGGATGAAAGAGAATGTGTGGAAAGGAAACTGAAAATACCACATTACTTTTTCTACAGTACAACCAATAAAACTACCCACAATCGTATGTTTTGGGATTCATCTACTTTAAATGAGACCTTGGCTGTATTGTTTTCTTGTCTTTCCATCACAGGGTAACACTACTCCATTTGGATTGGTTTTGACCCTTCACCTACACCAGTTTGGTGTAGTGGTTAAGTGCACGGACTCTAATCTGGGAGAACCGGGTTTGATTCCCCACTCCTCCACTTGCACCTGGCTGGATGACCTTGGGCAAGCTGTAGTTCTATTAGAGCTGTTCTTGAAAAAGAGCAGTTTCTGTCAGAGCTCTCTCAGTCCCACCGACCTCACAGGGTGTCTGTTGTGGGGAGGGGAAGGGAAAGGGGTTTGTAAGCCGCTCTGAGACACCTTTGGGTAGTAAAGGGCAGGGTATAAATCTAATCTCTTCTTCTAACTGTAGAGTTACTCTACAGTTTGCATTGACACATATACCTTATACTGAGAAATGTAAAGGCTACCACACTTTTTTTGTTTGCCGTACAAGGAACGTATGTGTTCTTGCTGGTGCTGGGGACATAGCTAAGTAACTGTTGCCTCATATATCCTCTAAGGACTAGCCGTTTTGAATTGGTGTGGCATAAAGTGTTGGACTAGAATCTGCAAGATCACTGTGAGATGAAAACCTGGTCAATGACCTTGGGCCAGTCACATACTCTAAGCCTCACCTATCAGATCAGGTTTCTGTGAGGATAAAATGGAGGAGAAAAAAAGTTTGGGTTCCCTTTGGAAAGTGGAAGAAATGAAGTAAACACACACACATACATACATACTTGCATGTTCTTTCCCAGTATCCTTCAATACATTGTGAAAACGTGGTTGTACTTACCTGTAACTGTTGTTCATAGAGCTGCCTTCTGTGCGGGCACAAGCACACATTGAGACTGCAGCCAGGCAGGCCTGCCAGGGAGAGATTAACTTCCAAGCTAAAAAACTCACTTAGAGGGCAACCCCCCCCCCTTGGAACCAGCACGAGCCGTTTTCCTGCTCAAATGGATGCCCTCTAGGCGAGTTCGCTTGAAAAAGAACCTCTCTGCAGCAGGCCTGCCCAGCTGAGGTCCCAATCAACGCTCCCTCTAAGCTGTGGAGTCTTGTGAGCAAAAATTCTACTTTGTGAGCTCCTGGCATTAAAGATGTAAGCGAGCAATCTGGCTAATGCATAAATCAGTTTTATCTGGAGCCCTCCTTCCTGAGCTAAGACAAAAATCTGCGAGCCA